ATTAGCTCTCACGAATTCAATCTCTCGAAGTCCCTCCTTTTTTACATATTCTGCACAAACGATACTTTTCGCCTGGCCCCATTCATATAATTCGGAAGGAAATCCTGTGAGGGGTGAATTTAATACACTTAAATACCAAAATGCACAAAACTTAAAAATTCATAAATAACAAAAAATTCAAAATACACCTTTTAAAGTCGATTAGATGAATCGAAAATACTCAAGTTGACAGTCCCTTGGATTCTCTTCATCACCTTTCTCTTTGAAATAAACTACAAATTTGATACGCCTACAAACAAAAAACGGAAAGAGTTACGATAATTGATCAATTAAAAGAACTAAATGTTCACATTTGTTCCGTCCACTAGCGGTCCTACGTCAAGCTTCTGTTCTTGCCCCTAGGCACAGACCCTTCTCCTTTTTTTCTATAAAAATATGCATAGTAAAATGTCAGCTTTCCTTAGGCAATACACGCCATCAGCAATACGTGACAGGGTGAACCATACGCTTATTTAAAATTAAAAAAAACATGTATTTAAATATACATACATTATTTATCCATCGCATCATATACAAAGATTGACATATTGCATAGAAATATTACAATAAATAAAAAAAAAAACATGTTGTTTCACCTTTACTGCGGCAAAACGAATCATTTTGAAAGGAGCAGAATAGGCCATCTATCAACCTAAGCTTTGTTTTGGATTTGAGGTGCATTGCGACTAGAAACACTAGAATAAGAGACCAGCGGAGACACTGTTATGATTCCAATCGAACTGTCAAAAGCGGTTCCAATCTGATATGTTTACAAATGGTTTGTTTCAATTAGGGAGGAGTATTGAAATCGTTTAACAATCACTCATGTACTCGATCGTCTGTGCATTGGCGAAGTCACTCGCAAGCAGTTACAAATGCAAGTGATGCCAGGATTACTTTGATGTTTATCTTGTTGCCAAATTCATGTTTTTTTTCTCCGCTGGTCTCTTATTCCAGTGTTTCTAATTGCGACGTTTTTGGCATTGCGAGACAGACGGTACACTATCGGCTGATAAATTAATTTCAGTTCTATAAAACTGCCAAGAAAGTAGCCTAATCATGATCCTTGGTCGTGATATACATTCTATAAATTGTTATCCTAAAAATGTATTGAAAAAAGGTGAATAGAAGCTGTTTTTTTAGTTTGCTGAGCATGGTAAATGCTGACTTCGTCAAATCATTTATCTATTATCGTGTGGGTGGGGTAAATAAAGTCTAAGAATGCTTAATGTTGGCCACCCGATGTCCACAGAAACGCGAAGGCCGATGTCGCTGCCGATAATGGGTAAAAGTATTGATGTTGCCGACATTAAATTTTATCCTGCATTTTCATCATTGTTGACATACACTCAATGTTTTGACAAGGTTTAACATTTTAATTTTAATTTTTGGTGACTGACCCTTCTTGCCCCATCTTGCTCCGCGCTTATTCAAAGGCCACATAAAAAAATTAAATCTTGTTCAAAAAAGTATTATGTATCACATTTTTTTCTTGTAGGAGGGTTGCATAGTACTTCATTCTGTCAGAGTATAAAGGGTGATACGGTCAAAATTTGGTCAAGGGAAAACGCGTGTAAATCGGTGAAATCGTTTATTTAAAAAATCAAATTAAATTTCTTTTTCAAGTTCAATTAGTATAAAATTCAGGAAAAATATTCAGTTAGGCTTCCGCTTTTCCATTGCCTTGAACTGCTGCTCGCCCTTAGCAGTTTTTTTGGTCTTCTTTAGGTTCCGCTTGACAATAGCCCAGTATTTCTCAATTGAGCGGAGCTCTGGCGTGTTGGGAGGGTTCTTGTCCTTGGGAACCACCTGCACGTTGTTGGCGGCGTACCACTCCATGGCCTTTTTACCGTAATGGCAAGATGCCAAATCCGGCCAAAACAGTACGGAACAACCGTGTTTCTTCAGGAAAGGCAGCAGACGTTTATTCAAACACTCTTTCACGTAAATTTCTTGGTTGACAGTCCCGGAAGCTATGAAAATGCTGCTTTTCAAGCCACAGGTACAGATGGCTTGCCAAACCAGATATTTCTTTGCGAACTTTGACAGTTTCATGTGCTTGAAAACATCTGCTACCTTTCCCCTTCCCTTTGCCGTATAAAACTCCTGTCCCGGAAGCTGCTTGTAGTCGGCTTTGACGTAGGTTTCGTCGTCCATTACCACGCAGTCAAACTTCGTCAGCATCGTCGTGTACAGCCTCCGGGATCGCGCTTTGGCCGTCGTATTTTGTTTATCATCGCGATTTGGAGTCACTACCTTCTTTTAAGTCGATAGTCCGGCTCGTTTTTTGGCTCGATGCAGGGTTGTAGACGATACACCCAGCTTATTTGCGGCATCTCGGAGAGAGAGGTTAGGGTTTCGCTTGAAACTACCGGCAACTCTCTTTGTCGTCTCAGCGGCTTCCGGTTTTCGATTTCCCCCCGATCCAGACTTCCTGGCTGTCGACAAACGTTCCCCAAACACTTTAATTACATTTGTAACGGTTGATTTGGAAACTTTTAGCGATTTTGCCAACTTTGCGTGCGAGTAGCTCGGATTTTCGTGATACGCGAGCAAAATTTTGATACGCTGCTCTTCTTGCTTGGACGGTATTTTGACAACTGAAGAGTGAATTCCAAAATCAAAATAGGAGCAACATTCTACACACACACACCTTCAAAATGAGGGGTGTTCAGGTTTTTTAAATGCAAAATTGAAAGAAATACGTCAAGTTGATATTGAACAAATTTTGACCGTATCACCCTTTACCATTAATAGCCCCCGAATAACATCACAGAGAAAGATATCACATGATCCTTTGGTGACCTATCTTGCCTCCCTCCCCCCCCCCCTACCCTACCCATATTGTGAGGTAAACCATGGCCCACTTAGTAATGAAACAACATGATTTGGGTCTATTTCGAATATGAATTATCGGATTTGAAATCGGTTTTCACTCAAGTGCATACTATTCCTGGTTACTCGAAATTCTCGAACTTTTTCCTTAATATTACTGACTCCAAAACAAGAGCGTTTTATAAACTCAAAAAACACTGTTATTGCTATTGTCGATGTCAACAAATACACGTCAAAAGCTTCGCAATACGTCTACTACGAGCGCTGTAATAAGCAAAAAAAAGTCCATTACTAAGTTTGCCATGCTTTATTTACCGGTTTTCCACAGTTTATCTCTAAGCAAAAGCTGCCTCTAGGATTTCAAAAAGGCGTTAGTCATCAATTTATGGTACCTACACGTCACCCCGATTCCAAAATTATCCATATTGTGAGGTAGTTGGCGGTTTTGTAAAGTTTGTCTCTAATCAGATCCACCACCTCGGATTTTAAAACAGCATCTGATATTGATTTCCGGACCCTACGCGTTAACTCGACTTCAAAAATATCAATATTGTGGGTTATCTGACAGTATTTCCAAGTTTCTCTATATCCAGAAGCCGCCATCTTGGATTTCAAAACGGCGTTAGATATCTATTTCTGGTCTCTGCACGTCATTCTGATTCCAAAAATACCCATATTGTGGGGTATTTGACAATATTTCCCAATTTCAGTGTAACTATAGTCCGCCATCTTATTATGCTTACTTTTATTATTATTTTGCTAACCCTTATTATTACGGTAGTTATTTTATTTATTATGCTTATTCATATTACACATGGATCTCGATTTTGGAAACCCAGCTGTTTCATCTATGTGTCAAATCGAATTTTTTTCCACTTGTGCTAAAATTACGTAATATAATTTAAAGAACTTTCTAGCGTGTAGATTCATCACATTTAGCATAATTTAAAATAAAATGTGATTTTTGAACAATTTCAGAAAATTTAAATTTTAATTTATTTAAATTATTTTATTTGTTACGTCTATTCTTTATTTTTGTTATTCCTTCTTTTATTATTACAGTATAGTTATTCTTATTCTCATAATTGTTATATTTTTTGTTATATTCATTATGCTAATTCTTATAACAATTGGGTTAAATACCCTAGTGTACGTCATAGTAAGCGCAAAACACTTTTGCTCTCAACCACTTAACAAATAGTAGAATGTTTCAATCAACTTCTAAATGGATTTACCAATCGCATCGGTTGATTACCAAATGAGTAACAAATTGTTGTGATAATGATAAAATCCTTACACCACTATTTGACGCCCATTCCGTCATACGGTTTCAATTCCGGCAGAACACATTGAAATGCCATTGAAATCCATTCGGCACACGAGTGCAGGCTGAAAAAATGGTGTTGCTCGGCGCACTTGATTTGTTTTTGAGAAGAATGAATGTAATCATTCATTTGATGCGTTTTCATAATAATAAATTGTTTTGTAGCTTTTGAAGTAAACTGCCATACCAAGGGCTCGATTGATTCGGCGAATTTATTGATTTATTTGATGTTTCGGCTCGATATGACGGAAATAGGCGTTTATGCCGTAGATATTCCCTACCCTATCCTAATTTAATAAAAATCTACACCTCGATGCGAGCACGATGCCAGGAACAAAATTTTGCCCCGCATCGGCTTCACGTCGGAGTGTCATTGTGATAGGAATACGCTCAAAAGCGAAAATCGACACCCCGATGAAAGCCCGATGCGCCATGCAAAATTTTGTTCCACATCGGAGTCACATCAGTGCTACAAACCGAGCGAGAGCACGCTCTCGAGGTCTACAATTCCGATGTTTTGGTTGCAAATTAGCACGATACAAGGGGTCAAATCGGACTGTTTTATCGGACTTACGTCAGGCCGATAGTCCGATGCATCGGTTTCTCATCGGAGTCGCATCGGACCGACAATTCTTACTGGGCACTCGCACGCTTATGTTTTCGCCCGTGTTTATCTCTTCGCTCTTGCTCTACTCCGACTCTCACAACCACTTGCTCGCATTCACTGAATGGTTGGGCTCGTCTGTATGGGTGTTGGTGTTGTTCTGCGATTTGTTTTACGAGGTTCAGTTGGCAGCTCCGACTGTCAAACTCGTCACTCGATTTATTATCATTTCGCACCTTCCTTGCCCAGTGTTTTATGCGATTTGTGTATTTACAAATTTGGCCGATCTGCAACTGTTTATTCCACACCGGTATGTTTACAAATTAATCGGCCATCGACGCCCATCGCCGCCAAACGGTTGAGGAGAAAAGACTGCCGTTGTGCTACCGGAACAAGTGGTCGTCGCTAGAAGAAAATGTCACTACGCAATGGGGGCCATGTACGATGGGCGTTTGACCTCGCTAGTTGGCGACCCAGTTTGACGGATTTGCTGCTGGCGACGTCGTGCATCCAACCGGAGGAGAAGGCACGGCTGGCCAAATTTGTGTTTCGCGATGATTTCAACGCTTCACTGATCGGACGGTTGATGATGCGGCGGTTCGTCCATCTGGCTACCGGGCTGCAGTACGATCAGATCCAGTTCGATCGGGATCTGAAGGGGAAACCGTTTCTGAAGAACGAAGGCTACGTGATCGATTTTAACGTTTCCCATCAGGGGCGTTACTCGGTGCTGGCAGGGTTGGTGACAGCTAGGGATGGGCCGACTGATGGAAAAGTGCCAAAGATTGGCGTTGACGTGATGAAAATCGAGTACAGCGGAGGAAAACCGTTGGGGGAATTTTTCAGACTGATGAATCGGAACTTTTCGGACGACGAGTGGCGGTACATCAGGAGTCAACCGAATGAGGCGGAACAGCTGGAGGCATTTATGCGGAATTGGTGTTTGAAGGAGAGTTACGTTAAGAACGTTGGCGTTGGAATAACGGTTGATTTGCGGAAGATTAATTTCGCAATCGGAAGCAAGGTGTTGGATAGGAAGAAGGTTGTCTGTGATAGCACACTGAAGCTGAACGATGTACTGTTCAGGGACTGGCGTTTCGAGGAATCTCTTATCGATAAGAACCACTGCGTAGCCGTGGCGTTGGAAAATTTCCCCTTAGATGCCGACCTAACTGAAAATTGTTTCGAAATTATCGGTTTCGATACACTGGTGGAAGGCCATAAGCCGCTTTTGGCAATCGATGAACATTACTGTGGCGGTATTATCAATAAGGAATATAAGAAATCTAAATAAAGTTGTTTTTATATTTTTGCAATCGTTCTAAATTCGCCTAGTTCATTGACTTGATGACGAATATTGATAAAACTAAGCAATGTAATCGCGGTTATCCATAAACCACTAGGCATAATGTCGCGGGGATTAACGAGGGCTAGTCACGAAAATCCACCCCGACAGCCATTACTATGATTCCTATTGGGGCCACACATTTGGGGTTTTTTTGGCAAACTTCCTCCTAATGGCACAAACAAAAACTAGAGTAGCTGCGCTAGGGCTTGTTTGATCTATACTCGAATTACAACTGTTGTTCTGCCCATTCCTTCTTCCAGCTATCAGTCGTTGCGCTCATAGTCTTCGCTTGTTGGACAGGTGTAAAGTTTCAGCACGACACGTTGCCGCTGCTTCTAGGTCGAAAAGTCAAACCGTTTCGAGGATGGAAACAATTTTCGCGAACACGGAGAACCGTCCTCAACGCTGTCGGCGGAAAAGTTTATCAAATTACGCTAAAAGCCACACCGCTGCTGTTGCTGCTACAGGATGGGTGCACTTTTGGTTAATTTCCTGTTGACACGCGAACAGTCACTGACTTTGAGTTATTTTTCCGATTTACGTGAAATAGTGGGAGTTGGGATTTGTTCAACAAGGATTCGGAACAAGTCCCTTATGGATTCGACATGGTTGTTAAGGCGTAAGTTAGCGGTTATCTCATGGGAATATCGCAATATCGTACCAATGCGGACATTTTTTTGCCTTAGAGGGACGGCCGACGACTGCTCACTTTGCTTCGCTGGCAGTTGTTGGGATGGTTATGGCTGTATGGTTCGGTTCGTATGCGAGGATAATGATGTGTTTACACATGTGTTCACATTTAACGTTCGTTAATAGTTCCTTTTAGTGGTTAGTGGATGATTGATTTCTTCTTGGTTTTGTTTTCGTGGATGAAAAAACAAGGCTGAGGATAAGTATGAAAATAATGGTGGTCATATTTTTGTTTATTCCTCAGCAGCCGCTGTTAGCCAACTCTACAGCACCTTGTCAATTTTCTTCAATTTCCGCTTGATAATTGCTCAAAAAGTATCGATTGAGATAATTGGAGCCGATTGGATGGATTCATTACCTTTCTGGACAAAATCCACTCCGTTGTCACGATACCTCTAAACCCAACAAACAATTGCCTATTGAAGAAACGACTTTTAGACGATTTTATTCCACTTCATGCTTAATAATACTTGTACTATTTTTAATAATAACTTCTGTTCAGGCTTTGTTCACACAAATCTGGAGAATTTATTCAACCACAACATTGAAATATTTGGTACTGAATAAGGTATGTCGAGAAGCTTTTATTCGACTTATAAGAGTTGAAACAGAGCTTATTCGATCAAATTTTTGATTATTAAGCGTTTATTAGACATCATTAGGTACTTCCTTAAACAGCGGTGTTATAAAGGTGTATATAGACGCTTGATTCTCATGTGAAATAATGTTTAATTAGACACTATTATACATTTATTAAACGATTATTCAACTACGGGATACTTTATCCGAAAATAAGAACGGGACAGAGCATGGTTGTTCTCGTTAGTGATTGTTGTGGTGTCATTATTTCTGTCGAAGCACGCACCCTTCCTCCACACATAGATCATAGAAAATTTATTACATACATACATACATACATATACACACATGTCGTTAGATGGGATTCGAACCATGATCTTCCGATCACCAGCCGCTTGCCTTGCCATCTGAGCTATCCTAGAATACATCATATGGGCAGCTAAATAAGCAATTAAAGCTTGAATCTGTATACCTATCAGCACTCCCTGCCGTAACTCTAGCTAATTCAAGGAGATGTGAGAATGATTAAATCATTAATAGTTGTTTTACATGAGACCAATGTTACTTCTCCATCTCTCTAATTTCGATGGAAATGATGCTGGGCTTTTCTTTTAGATAGATCTATGAATTGGTTGTCTTGAGTGATACGATCTATGATTACGATTTAAATAAATTAGGCGTAGAAAATAAATATAAAAAAGGGTTTAGGTTGGGATTGAACTCGCGACCTTATACTTGGAAAGTGGAAACGGTAACCACTATGCTACCAATTTCGTTTTGTTGTTAGCCTGAAGCAGTACTGTGCACGTGCTGTGGAATAATGAATGAATATGCCGTTTGTAAAGCATTTACAAAGCAAAAAATTAAAACATGGACGCATAGTGGTATAAGAGCTATTATGCTGACTGTATTCACCTTCATTCAGCAATATTGTTAAGCAATGCAATGGAATCTAATAATGGAGCTAGAAAGCAATTATTATACGTATAATAAAGCATGTTATTGAATCAATTTAAAACAGTCGAATTAAAGCGTCAATGTATGTGCAAATTACACTTATTCAGTTTACTATTAGATCCAACTTCTGGTTCTGAATCAGGAAGACAGTCAACGTTTATAAAGCTTTTAATAAGTAAATTCAAGAGCAAATTTTCATTATGTCGTAAGTAACATTCGCACCAATCCGAGAAAAATAAAGTTTTGTTTTGATGACCGAAAAGTTATTCCTATTTCCAAGTAAACACATATAATCTCATAGTGATAGCAATGTTTAACATATTTAGCAGAGTTTTAATCATACAAACGCAAATCGCTAGCTTTCATGCTAAAAATACTGGTTTTTGAGTCAAAAGTTATTATACGTCGTTCGGTGGCCCCTATTGTTACTTAAGTCAAAGTGTATTTACCAGGATATTCGGGAGTATTATCAATTACGTCTCCTTACGTGCAGCCCATTCATCATTTTAGGACCACCGAAATCATCTTATCAACAAACAGTTCGATTTATTCACTTTAATAATGAGAAAGCGAAACGACGAACGTACACTTTTCACGGGTTTCTCAGCGCTGTTACTTAAGTCAAACGGCATCTCCATAGAAATTGGGTGACTTAAGTAACATCGAAAACTATTTTGATCGGAAGGTGATTACGTCAAAAAGCAATTTGACTGGTAAATAAATTTAACAATGGGATTTGATCCTATATTCGGACAGTATATAGTGTAATAGCAGGAGAATCGATTGGCACTGATAGCTCGACTTTGTTTACCTTTGTTACTTTCGACGTAATGAAAATTTGCTCTTGAATTAGTCATATCAGAATAAACGGCGGAATAAAGGCGCATCTTTCGATCTCAATGAGCTTTTTTCAGCACATAATTCGACATCCTGTTTTATTCAGCAATGTACACTGTTATACAGCATTTATTCAATGTGTATGCTTATTTGTGAATTGTTTGTTGGGAAATAGATCCCAGCATTAGTGACAGCTTGCCCAAACTGGCAAAAGCTTCACAGGTTCTGTGTGTGTCTTAATTAACGGTAGAATGCGTCCATCGTCCAAGTCCTTCGTCTTTTTTGTGACAAAAATCTAAGCTTTTGCGAACTTGCCGGGCACATCTCGTCGTACAGTGGAAATTTTAAGGTATTCTTGATTTTTAGAGCTGACCACGTCATATAGGGGTCGGCGATGGCAACCTCTCGAACTTAATTGAATTATGTGTAAACAGTTGATTTAATCAACTCTCTGCTCTACTCTGTTATTGCCAGATGAGCTATAATTACACAGAGAACCAATAGACAATGCTTAGGACTAGAATTCATCCTCCTGGTGATCTTAAATTAGGCAATACCAGCACCGGCCGCGTCCGAACGCAGATCAAAAAAGGAATGGGTAGGAATGTGTTGACGTGACACTCGTTTTGATGGAAACCGAGGAGTCCTCTACATTTCCACGAGCAATTACTGGGATGTTGGGTAAGAGGGTTGGGTTTGTAGCAGGGTTCGTTTTGGTAAACCATAAGCTGAATTGATGCCCCAACGATCATATAACGCGAAGAAGCTTGGGATTGAACCCACGGTCTTCTGCTCAGTAAGCAAAAACTTTTTTTAAACCTTTTTAATCATCGAGTTACTGTTATTACCATGCGGTGATGCGGTCATATTAACAAATAAAACGGTTGACGAATCTTGAATGTGGATGGGCTTGAGCTTAGACTCATGATGTTCTGCTCAGTAAGCAAAAACGGTCGCTCTAAGGCCACCGAGGCTCACATTATACCGTTGCTCATGGCAAGTTTCGCAAAATACACGATAAACAAGCGATTTGACCATAAATGTCAATGTCAAATGTAGTATGAAAGGACCTGGGACCGCGGGTTTTTGCTTAGTAAGCAAGCCACTGCAACCGCAAATCTGAAAACTAAAAGCTACGAAAAAGCACTTAGACTGTGTTCTATTTGGTGAATTTTCACTTAAATTTGACAGAATTTCAAATAAACTTGCTATTGTACCAGACTTATTTCTAACAGGCCAGGAATCAATTTTGGCAAACACTTTTTTGAAAATCGGATGATCAACAACTGAGGGATTTTCGGACATTATAATTCTCGAGTAACATTTGAAATGGGCCTATGTCCAAAACGTAAACAAATCTGGTTTTGATACCATTCTTTAGCACCGTGTAGGAAAGTTCCGCATTGTCGAGAAAAATCATTAAAAATAACTCCATTTTCGAAACGGCCGATCAACGCAATTTTTCGATTCATTAATAGGCCCGCACGCTAAAACGGCCAACCATTCATTTATTTCATTTCATTGATACGCCTAGTGACGTAGAAGGGCCGATGATTGAAAATTTTCAAACCAAAGCTAGGCCCTGCTGCTTGAGGCAGGGCCGATGATTTGTTTTGAATTTATTTGACGTTGCAAAAAGGCTTAGCAAAGGGCGTACCATTTCTTTCTGATGGCATGCACAACGGCTTAACAAAAAAGGCCGATCCATTGGAAGATTCACTAAAAGGCTTATTAATTTGTTAAATTAAATTGTTATCGATTTTCATATATTTTTGAAAGCTTTTCGCATATTTTGGATGTTGTATACTGAGATACAGTTACTATTGTTATTGTGAACAATATAAATGCCTAAAATACTTCAATTTTCTTAAATATGAATTGAAAAGTGGCGGAATAATTTAAAAT